AGAAGGTCTCCCCTGAGCCTCCTTTGCTCCAGGCTCAGCACCCCCAGCTCCCTCAGCTGCTCCTCCCCACACTTGCCCTCTAGACCCTTCCCCAGCAGCTCCGTTGCCCTTCTCTGCCCACGCTCCAGCCCCTCAAGCTCCTTCTTGACCCAAAACTTCCCCCAGGATTTGAAGTTCACCCTCCCCAGTGCTGAGTCCAGGGTGGGGGGAGCTGCTGCTTGCCAGGCTGCACCACCAGGGCTGGTTTCCAGACTCTTCTCAGGTCCGTGGGTGCCCCGAGCTGCTCCTGGGCACTGAATCACCCTGGGGCTCATCATCAAAAAACAGGAACAGCAACGACCAGGAGCTGAGCAGCTTCTCTCAGCTGCTTCTTCTCCTCTCCCAGGAGCTGCTGGAAGGTTTCAGAGACCTGCCAGCTGTGGAATCTCTTTTTTGATGCCCCTCCACTCTCTTCTGGTCTCGAGGAGGTTCAGCTCAAGCTCACCCATGGCATAGAGAGTCCCCGATTCCACCCTAGGAACCCAAAATCGACCCCAAAAATGGGAATTTTACCCTGGAAGAGACTCCAGGATTTCCAGCATTCCCAGGTGCTGAGTCAGCACCAAGGGCTGGTGCCTCTCGTGGAGGTTTCATCATCAGTGAACCCCTTTTTTTGGCCAGTTTTGGCCCAGCCTGTTGGTTTGATGCCTCCAGGCTGCCCCCGGCGTTGAAATGTTTTTGTGAAGGTGTTTTTCACTCTTTCAAAAGCAGAACAGGAAGAAAAAAGGGTCGAAGAGACACCTCAGTGGCCAAAATATCAGCAGAGCTGAGCTCAGCAGTGGAAAACCACAAATGTTTTTAGACACAACAACAAAATAACCCAACTCAGGGCAGCTCTGTCGACAAAGCTCCTTCAGCTTCGGGTTGGAGCTGGGCTAAAACCCACCAGTTTCCTTCCCTCTCCTCCTCCTTTGGCCCTGGGAGGGTTGAAAATCATTAAAATCTATTTTTAATACACCAAATGAATCCATTCACCTTTCCCTGGTGTTTCCCTGGGGGGGGTTTCACTCCCTCCAGCCTGTAGAAAATAAACCATTTTTCCTCTGCCCCCCACCCCCAAAGTTAGAAGATTTAGTGGCTGGAAAATCTGCCAAGGAAGCAGTTGAGAAGTTCAGTTTTTTTGGGCCCAAAGATGTGAATTTGGCTCCTCCTGTGGCCGCTGGGGAGGAAGCATCCAAAAAAAAGGGTGGGGAAGAGAAAAAAATGAGGCTGGGGGGGTGGTGCAGAGGGAGGCAGGGACCCCCCGTTGGCTAATTCCACCTTCTTCCCTCTTCCAAAAGCTTTGGTGACCTGGGCTGGTGTGAGGCACCACAGGAAGCTCTTCAGCCTTGCCAGCTCTGATGCCCACCCCCCAGGTCTTAGAGGGGTTCCTGGCTTGTGGGACAAGCTCTTGAGATGCCACCACCCTCCTCCCTCGCTGACCTTGGAGGCCCTTGGCTCAGCTCCAGGCTCCTCGTGTGGAGAAATCCCTCTTGGAACCAGCCCAGTTGGGTTGTTCGAGCATCTCCTTGAGCGTGATCATCTCCTTCAGTGCTCCCCAGGAACTTTTCCACCCGTCAGGGATGATCTGTTGGGATTATTCCCATCCTTTCAGCTTTTCTGTCAGCAGGAGGCTCCTTGTGGTCACCTCTGACTCTTGCAACCTCCAGCAGCTTTTCAGGAAATGACTCAGCTGGATCTTCAAAGCTCTCCAGACCTTGTTTTGGTTCCTCTTCTCTTCTAAGGTGGCTTCTTGCAGCCGTTTTACATCCCAGGGGGGCTTCATCCTCACCCCCCTTGTCTCCCTGTCCTGCGTGGGACCCTGGGGTGGGATTTCCAAGCGAGGTGGAGACTTCATGGGGGGGCTTTCAACCTTGAGGTGCCTTTGGTGGGTCTTCTGCTGTCCAGGCAGCTCTGAGGCCATGGCTGTTTAAACCACAAGCTTTTCAAGCCCTGTGCTCAGCCTCCTCCTGTCTCTTTAGCTCAGCACCGAGTCCCATCAGAGGCGTGTGGCTCCAGAAACCACCACCTCGAGAACTTCACCATCCGTTTTGGGGAGGGGCTGAAGAAGAGAAACTTCCCCCTCCCTGCTCGTTTTGGGGCAGGGATGGAAGGTCCTGCTCCCGGGGAGCTGTGGCCAGAGCAGCCAACTGGGTTCCTGGCTAAGTGAAAATGAAATCAGAGCGTTTCCTCATTTCCTCACCCGTGATTTGCCCGGCGCCCTCAGTCGCCCTGTGCCACAGCTCCTGCTTCTCCTGGCGCTGGGGACCAGCTGGATTTATCCCCAACCACCCCCTGACCTCCTGCCCCCACCCTGCCGTGGAGCTGGGGACCAGCCCCTGCCCCCCAGAAGAAGCTTTTTGAGGTATGTTGGCTGCTTTTTGTGTTTTCCCTCATCTCGGGGAGGACTTTGAGGAAGTACAACTGAAAGGACAATATTTTGATGTTGATTTTGACTCCATTTTCCTTCTAATCTCCTCCAAACCCTCTCTGAGGGGGGTGGAATCCTCCGTGGCGACCCCACCTCATTTTTTTGGATAAAAACAGGAATTATTTTGCTTTTCAAGGCGCTGGGAAGCTCAGGTTGGGTCCAACCAGCTGCGTAACCCTCCTTCGAGGAGGCTTTTCGGGGCAGGGTGGAACCCCAGGAGGAGGCTCCTGTCTGGATGTGTCCCTGCACGTCCCCATCCACACAGGATCCAGCAGATTTCCCCCCCCCGGGGGTGGAATTTGGGAGGCAGGGATGGGGTTAC